TATCTCTAAATTTCCTAAGATTACCTATGACTAAGGAATCTCGACGGAATCCGAAACGTTAGGACAAGAAAACTCTTGCTCCAATTATCGCATCTTAATATTCTGAACTGCTTCCTGGAACTCGCATATTCTCCTCTATTGGCAGAGAGAATTTTATTGCGCATATCTGCGACCGTCTGTAATGATGGTTCGAATGCGACACTGACCCGTCTGGTAAATAAATTGCTTGTTTCAGAGTACGCACCTTCATCTCGGTGGTGCTGTTCTCTGAACTTCACCTATTGGGTTCTATCAACACAAGCTGAAATATATGGCCTTGAAGCCGAACGTTTCTTTAGAGTTTGAAAAAACCCCACTCTCCTCCTTTTTTCAATGAAACCGTCAAAAAAGCAGATTTTTCGCAAATCAGGCAAACATCCAGCGGCGGATAATGTGGTTTGGCATTTTCCTCGCGGCCTGAGTGTTTCTCTGAGGTTCAGAGACATTAATGTTATAAGCGGAAATGCAAGTTCCAGGAAACGCTTTAGAATGGGGAGATGCAATTCCTGGAACAATAACTCTGTAATTGCCCTTTGTTTCGGATTCTCGCTTTAATGCATCATCGGAGGCAACCGAAGATATGGTGACAGATGCACGAGATGCGCAGTAGTGGCGAGTGGCAAGTAGTCGCTTGGGGAACACACAGACCACCGCGTTGTCTTTCGCCAACACCATGGAACCAGATAACCCAGCAATCATTACGTCCAATTTCACCATGCGTGATGACATGTCAGCAAGTCGCGGGTCGCATGCAGGTCGTTAAGCAAGTAAAGCACAGGAGGGCAATATTCATTATTTGTCGTTATTTTTGCAGTTATGATTGTGTCCTACACATACTGCAACTGGCTGAGCTACGATTTTCTGCTCATGTCTCCGATGAAGAATTCGCGACGGATGTCGGAACGTCAGGCAAATAAAAGTAGTGTCCCAGCGAACCAGTCGACTTCTTCTCAATAGCTTAAACATTCCAGCTTATGTTTGCCCCCAGCTCTGAATTATCTCACCTAAAAGCACATGTTACTCAACTGGTAGTGACTTTTGCCACTATGTGGTTACGAGATTGCACTCTTCATTCCCAGCATTCCGGTGGCCGCGATCGGCCTCGTTAGAGCAGTCGCTACTGGCGTCTGTCCCACTATCGTCGAGTGCGGGTGATCTTTGTTGGTATCATGCCAGATTTGACACTAGAGCAACGCACAGCCTTCCATCTTGTTCGTTCGAATCCTAATCAGTAAGCCCCTTGGCCGGTGGGTGAATGCGGTCGAACTCTCTGGCAACTCTTTGGATCGTACATATTACGTCTACGACAGCAAAATTGGCAGACGTTTCTTGGTTGACACTGGTGCTCAACTGAGTGTCATCCCTCCTTCACCAGCCGTCCGTCGTGTCCCGAATCCTGCATTTGTGCTGCTGGCTGAAAACTGCTGCCCTATCACAACTTTTGGACTTCGTTGACTTTCCCTTGACATTGGTCTCAGCCGACTCTTTCCCTCCATATTTATGGTTGCTGATGTTCCGACCGCTATCCTCTGCGCAGACTTTTGATTCACTTTCGACCATCTAGTTGACTGCAGGCAACGTTGCCTCCATGATCATTTCACTTCTCTCTCTGCGAGTTAAAGGTTGTAGGCTACGTAGTAGTCTGGCCGGATAAAAGATGATGAACTTATCCCAACGGTTATAAGCTAGTAGATAAAATAAGGCGTGGAAGGCTAGAGTATTAGGAATGATTTAATTAAGTGGAGAAGGAGTGGCACATGAGTAATAAATAATTGACTCCCAGAGGAGAGAATTTCATAACATCAGGCGAATAAAAGTGTTGTCCCAGCGATCGAATCGTCTTCTCCATAGTTAACATCCCCGATTTCCACCGACGAGACAACACACTGAATCGTAGATAGTTTAACGCTAAGTCACAGAATAATCTATGTTTAACTTTTAAGTTATGGAAACCTGGGGTTCTGCATGGTTAGCTGACTGTGAAAAATAAGGCAGCCATTCTCATATAGCTTCGCTGCGTGTACTTCTGCATTGTCACTGGTCTCTATGCGTGACAAGCCCGCGCATAACCTGATCTCTGAATGTCTCTCCTAAAACTCTTGTCTTCACAAGGAGACGCTAAACGTGTATGGTAGGATGCATTTACCACATTGCGTACCTGCTCGAGCAGTTGACGTTGACTTGATAAGGAGTGTAAATAGAAACAGCAGCTCAGACGGGGAAGATGCAATCACTGGAAGTTTATTGCCTGACGTTTCGAATTCTCATTCGAAAGCATCATCAGAGACAATTGCAGCTGAGGGTAAAAGAAACACAGGGTGCGCACCGTGTGCCCTTATCATCCATATCTGTGCTTGGCTTTTAATGTGGGTTAAAGCGAAAACCCGTAACGACCAGCCAATACACTTATGGATTCAGCGATTGCATCTTTCTTTTAGCTGTACTGTTTTTGTGCGCCCATCGGCAAAAGCCAACCTAGCAGGATTCCTGCATACAAAACCGAACTATCTTAAATCGTGGGATCCAGAACGCTAATTTGCACAAAAGCGCGGAATCGGAGCTGAAAATACCTCCTTAATAACTAAGTATGCCTTGTAGTCATTCTGGTGTATTCTAGATGATTGGTTTGGAAATCCCGCCTGGGAAAACAGCTTGCAGCATCCCTATTGGCGGATTCCATCTAGTGCATTTGGCTGGGTGGGAAAATCGATTCAATTCGTGATTCAATGCAAAGTTATCGGCGTACCTTCGTATGCCAATTGGTAGAGCGTTGGCTGTACTACATTGTTAATTGGATTGTTCAAATTTGCCAATTCCCATCCCTAATGATGATAATAATAATTATTATTATTAAGGAGATTTTCGCATCTTCGGTTGACCAAATTGTATAAAACCTCGCGCCGTCGGCGGGAGTCGAACCCGTATAGCAGAGAAGACCTTTGCGCAGCCAACGATCCCATTCGTTCATTCCCCCCCCCCTTATTTCCGAATTCTGTAATAAATTTGGGCGGGGGAACTTTTCCCATGCGGCAACCTTACAAGAAAGCCTTACCTCCACCTTCATGTCATTCACGTTGAATAATGTCACAGTCATGCCAATGTATATCTTGGTCGGGCTTCATGCCTTTTGTATTGAGTATTCCTCTAACCACGCATTGAATGTATGTCAGCCACGTTGAATAATGTTGCAGTCATGCCCAGGTTGTACTTCAGTCTGCCTTAAAAATTTATGAATGAAACGCATGTTTTCCAGTGTGGAATTAACTAAGTTAACGTCACGCTACAAATAGTCCCCTTTAAAAGAAACTTCTAGAAGTACATCTCTAGCGAAACTGCATACTCCTTCTAAATTCACATACTCCGCGCACGTCGTCTATTGTTACTAAGGCATGTTTTGAATGTCTCTGTCTCAGTTCTCAATTGAAGCATCGATACCTGTCTGCTCTCCAACAGTGGTCACCGCGTTGATTCCGAGCAACTCAGTCTCCGCGGTTTCGACCAGCCCAGTCTTAAATGTCTGAATATAAGAAGCGAGTTAGACAACGAATAATTGCTTATCACTCATAATGTGGCATTAAGTAGGGGTTGTTATATTTACTATAGTGAAGCCTTCTCTCAGTTCATTTCAGTCACGTCAGGATGCCGGCTTTTGAACGAGTTCTATTCTGACCACTTACAAGTTGTATATTTGGTGTGAAAATGGCTACTTATGTAGTATGCACTACACCGACTGATTTTGACTGCCTGTATAAATTCAAATATAGTTTATAAAAATTATTCCCAAGATTATTATTTTTTATACTCGTTTAGTAGAAAACTACGATTTCTTTAATTTTTTTACTTAAAGGAAGTGTATATATAGGTTTTTTTAAATAAATCTAATTTTAAACTGTTTTATTGACTGTGAAGTTTTCATTCATAATTCATCGTATCCGTCAATTGACTAATGTTGCCTATAATATATACAGTGTAATCCACATCAACCTCAAACTTTTATAAGAACTATGTGATTTCCCTCAAACTGTAGGTAAATGTTTATAGTTTCTTAGGCAGGATGTGCATAGCGCACAGTTTGGAAACCCTGAATTCAGTTGAAACGGTCGGTTGGTTTCAGCAGATGCGGACCATGCTCCATGGATTATAGGCAACATTAATAAATACGCCTATAACATGTTTTTTGAATGAATTCGTCACAGTCGTAAAAAATATCATAATTAGAAATATTTTTAAAACCACAATATACCCTTTCTTTAAGTATTTTTATGAAAAATGCGTAATTTGCTACTAATTCAGTACAAGGAATAATAATGTTGTGAATATTTTCTAGAAAATATAATTGAATTTATAAATGCAGTATAAATCCGTGAGTGAAGTCCATACTTCTTACGTGGTTATTGACTTAACACAAGATAATTATTTTGAGTTGTCAGAGAGAAGGTCTCTAAATAACCGGCGTACTTTCATGACTGAAATGACTTGAAGCTAGGTTGCATGGTAATAAGTGTTGCAACCCTATGTAAGGCCATCTTAAGAGTGATTGTCAGTTATTCCGTTATTTTCAAAATATGCTTCAAATAACGGACGTACGGTGCATTTTATTTGTGCATTTTGTTGTAAAGGTGGCCAAAGACGAGATGTCAGCGTCGAATAACGTCTTGTCTGAGCCCCCAAGGAACAACACGACAAGGAGTGTGCAAAAACAGAAATCTTTTCGTGTACCTAGTACAACAAATTTAGGGCAACATAGCATGTAAAGTTTTATCCATCGGACCAATCAGACACTATCCTGACGTGAATAGTACTCAATGGCTGCTACAGCTTACATTTTAAATTATTTATTGATTGACTGCCAGTCTGCGTTTGCAGCGTGTCGGCCGATCAACAGCCTGCCATGAGCATGGTTGGGTGCTTGCCCGCTTGCGCGTTGACATCAGCTTTGTCGCCAGCTGATTCGATTAGAGTGAGCCCTATCACATTTAGTTAACCAGTCTCGCGCTATAAAAAGTACCTTTTAAAAGCTACTCCGAGCAGTTTAACCGTAGTGACAGCTCCTTGTTCCTTCTTATTGCACATATTCTGCATATATTGTCTTTTATCTTTTTATTTATAATGTCTTTGTCTTTCAGTGTTGAGTTGCAGTATCGGCACCTGTATGCCCTCCGAAAGCGGTCTCCGCCTGGACTCCGAGCAGCTCAGTCTCCACGGTTTCGACCAGGCCAGCCTTCATCGCCTGAATATTAGCACTGAGTTGGACAATGAGGGCCTGAGCATTTCCGGCAAGGGATCTCTCGAGACGTATGCCCAGCTACTACGCAACCTCGGCTGGAGCTATTCCCGCCGCTCGCCTGGTGTTGATATGTCCCGCTGTTTCTTGATGCAGTGCACCGCAACCATCCAGGATAACATGAACCGTGTCATTGCTTTTCATCGAAGCAACCAGATCGCTGTCAAGGTGAGGACTATTCCCCCTTGTTAGGGCTTTATTGAGATGCCAATTGTTGTCTATGATAAATAATATTTTTAAAAAGGCAACTTCCACGTTTTAAGTAGGTAGAATTTCCGTCTATTCGAACACTTCCTTGATTATGTTAACAAATACGTTTCGCTTACAGGGATTCTTGATCTACACGCTTCCGTTCCAGTTATTTTTTGTCCACTCGGCAACCTTTTCACACTCTTTTTTAAGTTAAGTAGGGAAAACTGCCTTTTGAGTTTAGTTTGTTGACAGTATTAGACATTGATTTTGGCTAAATTCGGATGAGTCTGATACCGAAGTAATGTCCTACGCTTTTACGTATGACAGAACCAAAAGATTTAGGTTTTATTAATATGCGTCATGCTATGGGAGGACGCAAAAAATAAGAAGCAACGAGTTAAAACATCCCCTTCTAGACCCCGAAAATGTAGTTCGAAGTTGTTCAAATCCAAGTGAAGCCAAATTTAAGGAATTAGAGTTATTACCAATAGTGGCGAATATGCGAGTTCCAGGAAGCAGTTCAGAAGAAGAGGAAGCAACCACTGGGACAAGAGTTTTATTTTCCTGGCGTTTTGCGTTCCGTCGGGAATCCGTAATCATAGGTAATGGTAGCATAGTCATAGTCATGTGCAGATAGGGTTAAAACATGCATAGGTTGCACGGTATTTATCCAGTTCTCACCGTTGATGGTGCAACAACGGCAAGTCTGCACGAAAAACGTTC